CTGCTGCTGCTGCTGCTGCTGCTGCTGCTGCTGGTGATAGCCCCTTCAGTCGTATAGAGAAGGCGATTTCTGCTGCAGAGGAGAGGAGACGCAGCAGCAGCAGCAGAAGCAAAAGCAGCAGCAGCAGCAGCAGCAGCAGCAGAAGCAGCGACACGGGGCGTGCTGACTCTCTTATCTCCTTGGAGTTTGATGAGAGACCAGCAGCAGCAGCAGCAGCAGCAGAAGCAGCAGCAGCAGCAGCAGCAGCAGCAGCTAAGCCTCAAGAGGATCCACTGGCTCGGCTGTTTGCTCATATACTAGTTGAGGACGATGAGAGCCCTACTGCTGCTGCTGCTCCTGCTGCTCCTGCTGCTGCTGCTGCTGCTGCTGCGCATCACCCATCATCATCAGCAGCAGCAGCAGCAGCAGCAAGAGAGCAGCAGAAAGCAGCAGCAATAAATGAAGACTCCTGGAGTTGTCTTTTATCTAAGGATGTTGCCAATGAAGCGGGAGGTATCTCTTGCTGCTGCTGCTGCTGCTGCTGCTGCTGCTGTTGCTGCTGCTGCCGTTGCTCCTGCTGTTGCTGCTGCTGCTGCTGCTGTTGCTGCTGCTGCTGCTGCTGCTAGTTTAGTTGCTGCTGCTGTTGCTGCTGCTGCTACTTCGGTTGCTGCTGCTGTTGCTGCTGTTGTTATTTCAGTTGCTGCTGCTACTGCTGCTGCTACTACTTTACTTGCTGCTGTTGCTGCTGCTGCTGCTACAGTTGCCTTTGCTGCTGCTGCTACTGCTTCAGTTCCTGCTGCTGCTGCTGCTTCAGTTGCTGCTGCTGTTGTTGCCGTTGCTGTTGCTGCTCCTGCTGCTAATCCACTTGCTGCTGTTGCTTGTGCTGCTGCCGCTGCTGCTGCTGCTTCCGCTGCTGCTGCAGCTGATCAGAACTGCTGCAGTTGCTGTTGCTTCGCTGCAGCAGCAGCAGCAGCAGCAGGAACAGCACTAGAAAGACACCAATAGCAGCAATACAGCAGCAGCAGCAACAGCAGCAGCAACAGAGAGAGCAGCAGCCATGCATGCATTTACTTTTTTATTTTTTTATTTTGTTTTTATTTTTTATTTGTTTTCTATTTTTTTGTTTTTTGTATTGCAGAGATTTTGCTGAAATATTCAGAGATGGATGTCGCCAAGTAATGCTGCTGCTGCTGCTGCTGCAGTTGCTGCTGCTGCTGCTGCTGCAGTTGCTGCTGCTGTTGCAGTTGCTGCTGCTGCTGCTGCTGCAGTTGTTGCTGCAGTTGCTGTTGCTGTTGCAGTTGCTGCAGTTGCTGCTGCAGTTGCTGCAGTTGCTGCTGCTGCTGCAGTTGCTGCTGTTGCTGCAGTTGCTACTACTGTTGCTGCTGCTACTGCATTTGCTGCTGCTGCTGCTGCTTGTCTTACCGCAGCTATTGCTGCTGCTGCAGTTGCTGCTGCTTCTGCTGCTGTTGTGCTGCATTCAGTATGGGGGCTGTTGAAATTTAGGGTTTAGGGTTTAGGGTTTAGGGTTGAGGGTTTAGGGTTTAGGGTTTAGGGTTTGTTGTCTGTGCAGTTTCCGCCCCAAACCTCCGCCTGCTGTTCAGCTTGAAGAAGTCCGTTGGTTTAGGGTTTAGGGTTTAGGGTTTAGGGTTTTGAGTTTAGGGTTTAGGGTTTTGAGTTTAGGGTTTTGGGTTTAGGGTTTAGGGTTTAGGGTTTAGGGTTTGGAGATGGGTGAACATATATCTTTTTCTTTCTTTAATTAAATTAAATAAAATAAAAAAAATAAATATTTTATTTGTTTCTTTATATATCTATCTCTTTATTTATTTATTTATTTATTTATTTGTTTATTTATTTATTTATATATTTATTTTTTTCTTAGGATCTAGAGAACGGTGAATTTGTATACTTTTCTTCTTTTAGTTAAATTAAATAAATAAATAAATTAAATATATAAACAAATAGATAGATAGATAGATAGAGAAATAAATATTCTATCTATATATCTATCTATTTCTTCATTCGGTTATTTAATTATTTATTTATTTGTATATATTGATTTTTTTCTTAGGATCTAGAGAGCGGTGAATTCGTATACTTTTCTCCTAGATAAATAAATAAATAAATTAAATATATAAACAAGTAGATAGATAGATAGATAGAGAAATAAATATTCTATTTATTTATCTATCTATTTCTTTATTCGGTTATTTAATTATTTATTTATTTGTATATATTTATTTTTTTCTTAGGATCTAGAGAGCGGTGAATTTGTATACTTTTCTTCTTCAGTAGACCCAACAAACTGCAGAGTTTTTGGTGCTGGATTAAAACAAGTCATTGCTGGGGTCCTTTCAGAGGTTAGTTTTTATTTTTTTATTTTTTTTCTTTTTCTTTTTCTTTGTTTTATTTATTTTATTTATCTTTTTATTTGTTTATCTTCTTTCTTTTTTTTTCTTTTTTTTTTTCTTTTTTATCGGTTATATTATGCCTTAGATAAGTAATTGCTGGGGTCCTTTCAGAGTTTAGCTTTTTGTTTTTTTCTTTTTTATTTATTTTATTTATTTTATTTATTTTATTTATTTTATTTATTTTATTTATTTTATTTATTTTATTTATTTTGTTTATTTTATTTATTCTATTTATCTTTTGTTTGTTTATCTTCTTTTTTGTCTTCTTTTCTCGTTTGTTTTTCTTCTTTATCCTTTATATATAGATAGGTATATACGCATATAAATGTACATATATATATATATATATATATATATATATATGTATATA